GCTGGTTATTGCTATAGTTTTAAAGCAAATAAAATGAGTTTTTCTCAATGATAGGAAATTATATGAAACTTGTTAGTATTTATTTATATATCAGGCTCAGCCATTAAAAATGTATATTGTAAACAAGTATGCCAAGCATTTCTTTTTCCTTCCTGTCAAAGCTTCCCTAACTATCAGTGTCTTCAAGGTCTATTCTCCCTCTTATTAGAATTTATGATAGCAAAAGCATCTTCTCAACTATTCCTAACTATATATGAATTTAATATCAACTCTCCCCAAGGTATTTACATTTTAAGTTTTTCTCATTTCTTCACTCAGGAAATATTTATTGAGCTATAAACACAGTACTAGTTTCTATGAGGGAAAAATGAGAATTAGATATTAAGGTACCTTTTAAAGTAGCATGAAATGTATGCAATTAATTGTCACCTAAGATTTTTTTAAAGTGACGCATACCATGAGATGTACATGTTTCCTGAAGTTTAGGGAATAGAGAGCCTTCTTAAGCTCAGAATAGGAGGATACTATGGAAAAAATAGGTATCTAAGAGGGTAGCACAGTACAGTAATTAACAACAGGGGATCAAAACCAAGCCTTGCCTATTTGTTTAAATTCTGACTGTCACTTACTGAGTGACCTTGGGCAGGTTTCTTAGTAAGCACCATGTGGCTCACTTTCCTGTTTATGAGATGAAAGTGGTAGTATACACTTCTGATTCTCATGTATTGAATAAATTAGGGAATGAGAAGCACTTAGAACAATGTAGACTTTTGTTTTAAAACAAACAAAATTAACTTTGTAGAGCTATTATTCTTTAAACGGGGCCTTGGAAAAAGGATAAATAGGATTTCAACATGCAAAACTGAGTCAAAGTGAAATAAATTTCAGAAGGAGCAAAGATTAAAATAAAACCACAGAAGTACTAGAAGAAACTAGATAATTTTTATTTATAATTGCATATTGGAGAAGGCCTTCCTAGGTATGACTGTAGAGTCAGAAGGTGGAAATAAGGAATTGATAAATTTACAAGATTTATTAAAAGCATCAATTAACACTAAAAATTTTCAGAGCTGACTAAAGGTGATCAACAAAAATAAACTGAAGTACGAAGTGTTATATGATTTTTAAAACACATATACTTTGAACCTAGAACTATAAAAATACTAGCAGAAAACTAGGGGGGAAATTTTCATAACATTGGATTTGGTAATGATTTCTTGGATATGACATCAGAAGCACAGCCCACAAAGGCAAAAACAGACAAATCGGACTGCATCAAATTTAAAAACTACCCATTAAAGGAAAAAATCAACAAAGAAAAAAGGCAGCCTACAAGGTGGAAAAAAATAACTGCAAATCATATATCTGGTAAAGGGTAGTATCAGCACTTAGAAATAATTCCTACAACTCAAACCATAAAAAAAAAATGACCCAATTAAAAAATAGGCAAAGGATCCAAATAAACAGTTCTCCAGAGAAGATACACTAAGTGACCAACAAATATCTGAAAAGATGTTCAACACTGCTAATCACTAGAAAGAAATGCAAATTGAAATCACAAGGAGATATCATTTCACACGTTAGGATAGCCACTATCCAAAAACCAAAATAAATATTCCCAGCATGTGGAAAACTTGAAATACTTGTACACTGCTGGTAGGAATGTAAAATAGTATTACCACTAGAGAAAACAGTATGGAAGTGTCTTAGTTACTTTTTCATCACTGAGATACAGTACTCAACACCCACAACTAAAGGAAGGAAAGGTTTATTTTGGCTCACAGTTGGTAGACATTTCAGTCCATAGTTGGCTGGCTCCCAGGCAGGGCAGCATGGCAGAGGAGAAAGAGCAAGGCAGGAAGGAAGCAGTAAGGGATCAAGGGAGAATGGGGGATATATACCCTTCTAGGCCATGCCCACAGTGACCCACTTCTTCCCACCAGATTTCACGTCCCAACATCGCACCAGCTATAAATCCATCAATGGACTTGTCCAGTGATTAGTATCACAGACCTACAATTCAGTCACCTCCCAAAAAGCCCCATCTATGAATGCATGAGGCTTTAGGGGGACAACTAGATATAAACTGTAGCAGGAATTTCCTCAAAAGATAGATTTACCATATGATCTAGCAATTCTACTTCTGGATGTATATTCAAAAGAATTGAAAGCAAGCTCTTAGAGATATTTATATAACCATGTTCATTGGAACATTATCCATAGCAGCTCAGAGCTAGTAACAGAACAAATATTCATTGACAGATAAATGGATAAAGAAAATGTAGTCACACTTAAAATATTTAGCCTTAAAAAAGAACACATACTACAGTGTTGATGAACCTTGAGGATATTATGCTGAGTGAAATAAGCCAATCTTACAGGACAAATATGGTATGATTTCACTTATAAAAGATTAGTAAAGTAGTGGAGAAAGTTGAATGTAGGGATAGGGTAAGGGCAAAGTGGAGAGTTGTTTAATGAATATAGAATTTTAGCTTTGCAAGATGAAATGTTCTAGAAAGATCTGTCACACAACAAAGAGAATGTAATGAGTACTACTAAACTGTGCACTTAAGGTGGCTAAGAGGGTAAATTTTATATTACCTTTTTTTACCACAACTAAAAATGAAAAAAAATTTAAACTCAATAATGCTGAAGGTAAAGTAGAAAAATGAAAAATAATCGGCTTTCTTCAGAGTTTCATTCTTTTTTCTTTTATTTTGCTGTTTAAAGCTTTTATCCTATTGAATGCCTTCTAAAAACTTACCCTCTCCAACATGACTCCTTCCCTTTTCTTTTAGGAGAATGTGCCATATCTAATTGGTGCTCTCATCACCTAAGTCATTCATTTAATATTTATTGAGCACAAATTATGGGGTAGGTTTTTCTGAACAATAGGAATTTAGCAGTGAGCAGAATAAAACCCCTATACCCATACATTTATATTCTAATAGTGGAAAACAAATAATAACAACAAATAAATATATGTCAGATGGTATTAAAGCCTCTAAAGAAAAGAAAAAAACAAGGTAAAGGTGAAAGGAATGCTGAAGTACAAGGGGATTGCTATTCTGTACAGTATAATCAAGGGAACCAAAATGCAAAGGTTGACATTTGAGCAGGTACCTAAGAAAATGAAGTACATGAATGGTGGATATCTCTGTGTAAGAGGGACTGTGAAGGGCAAAGGCTCAAATTCAGAAACAACTTAAAAGATTTGGAGAAGAGCAATCAGGCCCCTATGGCTTAAGGAGAGTGAGCAAGGAAAAGAGAAATAGGAGATTCTGTCAGAAAAGTAGTGGGAATACATGATGTTATGGGTGATTATATAGACTGCAGATTTTACTATAAGTGAGCTGGGAGCCACCAGAGGATGCTGAGCAAAGGAATGACACCATCAAACTTACCAGAGAGCTGGGTGAATAATAGATTATAAAAGGGAGAAGACAGAAAAAGGAAGAGGAGTCAGGAGGGATATAATAGTGACTGAGACCAAATGTATCGACAAGAAGTGGTCAGATTTTAGGTTCATTATAAAAGCTAGTGAAGGGTTTCTAGTGGATTGGATGGGAAGTCTAGGAGAAAGAACAGTTGAGAATGACTGCCAGGTTTTTGACACAAGCAACTCTCTGGCTGGAGTTATTGTAAGTCAGAATACTGCAAAAGAATTTTAGTTTTGGAGATGTCTAAGATACTAAGTAAGGTTAAGTAAATAATTTTATATATGAATCTGAAGCCCAGGGAAAAGATCAAGGTTGGAAATAAAAATTTGTAAATCATCAGCATATAGATGAGGTTTAAAGTAAGTAGACTGGATAAGACCAGCTAAGAAATAAGTACATATAATTGAGAGAGAGTCTTGCATCCGAACCCTAGGATACCTCATTTTAAGATGGGGATGATAAGGAAGAAGCCACAGAGGCTGAGGAGCAGCCAGTGCCAATGATGTGGAAGGTTGTTGTCTCAGAAAATATCCTTTTGCTAGTGAAACTTTGATTATCAAGTAACTCTTGGTCAATACTAATATTTATTTCTATAGGCTTTTATCAGTTGCCAGGATGATCTTTACTCCTGATTACATTTCAATGGTAAGACCAGAGTACTAGATAATTTGCCTGTGGTGTTTTCTCCACAGACACACATGCACACATATAAACACACACACACACACACACACACACAACACACACAGTTAAATTTTTAGGAATAGATCACCAGCTTTTATATTAGCTTACATGTGGAAAGTAAAAGAAATCTATCCAAAAATGTCGCCATATATTACCCAGATCATTTAGAGATAGTTTGTTGCTTTAGTAGGAGGAAATCAACTTTCTATATTATCTCAATGAAAATAATGCTTAAGAATCTCAGTCCTACCAGAGTTGTTAGCTAACCTTTCTTTTTACTGGTCATTTTCACCCTTGGTAATCAATAACAGCTGTTCTGCAGCCTCTTTTGAAAGTGTAGCTGAACCTATTGATTTCACTTGTTACTGCACCCTTGCCTTGGGCCACAAATTAGTCTGAGTCAGAATGAGTGGTGAGATAATAAGGCTATATATAGATTGTCCTTTTCTATTCTTTCCAGAAAGCTTTTTCTTTTTTAAATTAGAAGGTGATAAAAGCAAAGTTCAGCACCAGCTACAGGCTCTGTGTCCTAGTGTTGAAATCCTTTGTTCTTTAAAACCAAACATTTTGGCTTTCTAAGCATAGGAAGCAAAGCTTACCATGATTCATGTTTTCCTAAAGGTATATTACATCAGTGTTCAGATTCATTGTATCACTTGACAGAATTGTTTCTGACATCAACTCCCAAATGCAAAATATTCATGTTAGTTGTTTTTACTGTTTCTATTTTCTAAGGAGCAATTTGATACAGTTGGCTCATAAAGCCAAATAATACCACTTTCCTTTTGAAGTCAACATTCTTAATAGTAGTAGAAATTAGAATAAGCACTGACTCTTCGCGTATCTCTGATCTTGCCTTATCTTTTGGTTTAGGATGAATTGAATTCTACCACTTATGGAACAAAATCCGTATGCCTCAGTTTTTCTGTTACTAAGCACTGGCAACTCCACTTGCATATATAGGAGCTGGCAAAGAAGAGAGCTGCTGCACAGGGAGAGGTCACACTTGTGAATCAGGGAACAGTAAGTCACTAGACCTGTGTGGAAGGAAGGCAGTTGGTAGGGAGAAGAATAAGGGGAAGTGAATAGGAACATCCTTTACTGAATTCTCTAACACCTCTACCCTCCCACACACACACATTAAAATCTTCATAATACGCTTTTTATTTGGATATATTGCTTTTTAGTTAATGATTATGCACTGTATTAGGTTCTGGTACCTGGGTTTTGTCAGTTTGACTTGAGTATCTTATTGCAGACCCTATTTCATCTGTAAGATAATGCTGGCGATCCTTCTCTCACTTCAGAGGCTGTAAGTAATTATTCATAAGGTACTTCAGTGAACTTAGCAGTAGACTGAAACATGACTATGCCACTGATATGTGGAAGGATTTTTTTGTTTTTGTTTTTGTTTTTTATCAAACCTCATTGCAAGGACCTGGAGATAATCCAGTTTCAGAAAAAACAATTTGTGAAATGTGATTTGAACTCCTAAAGGGGATTTGCCAGCACATGTATTTTGTTAATGCTGTTTCTAACCAAGTTGATCAGAAGATGCAGGCTGCATCTCTAAATTGGTCACGACATATATGCTTCAGCTGCATTCACTTAGTGAATCCCTTGAGTTAAATCCCTTGAGTTTATCTCAGACACCTACCACCTGGGACCCATCTCCAGACAGAGCTTTTCTTGTTGCACAGGTCTGGACCCTTCTGTTTCATCTCAGAATAAATATTTCAGCTCTGAGGCTTTGTGTCTAACTGAATTCCATGGTTCACTTGTTGGTTTGCTTTACTTTTCAGCACAAATCAGTTTACCGAGCTAGCTGTTGTTTGGACTGGCTAATTAAAATCTGTTCATTGTGTACAGGCAGCCTTCAAGCCAAATATCGCTTTGCACAGAATTTGAATAAAAATGTGACTTTTTTATTCATTAGAACAGATGGGCATTGTGAATTACCCCTAGCCAGTCTGACTCTTGCTTTTTAAATTGCATGCTTTTGTGAAATATACTCCATCTTGAAAGATGAGTGCCCAGAATCCCCAGTTTTTGAGGAATCCTATGGAAAGGATTGAGAACAGCCCTGATATCACCTTCATGGTGGCAGGTCACAAAGAGATGCACCTATATAGCATGGCCTCATAGGATGCATGAGAATTCACTGTTAAAACTATTTTTAAAATCAAATCTCATGCCAAGTAGAAACCCAGTTATGGAAATTTTGCTAACACAGCCATTCCTCTGACTGGGGACACTGTAGGTGGCCGGTTTAAAAACCAGTATTGTCTCAGATTGTTAACTGCATTGAACTGCGATCTCCATCAACATCAAACATCCATCCACTTATGTAATATTTTTGGTACTGTATTTTAGGGGAAGCTCCATAGTATTTCACTAAGGAATTTAGAATCTTGTTGATAAAATATAGGCAAACAAGTAATTCTACTATAATATGATAAGTTGTCTCTCATAACCAAGATACAGAAACCTGCAGAAGGCACATGTTGAAAGAGGGGAGAAATAGAGGGAGATGGTAAATTAGCTTTTGGGTGTTCACAGAGTACTGAGGTTGAAGGATCTAATAAGCAGTTCTAAATAGGACTTTTAAGACAGATGAGGGACACCTTCTTACAGGAAGATATTATTTCATTACATCCCTACTAGAGGTCAAGGCACAGTGCAAATAGGCTTTGATAGGAGAGAGAAATAAACAAAAGGTTGGGAGTGGTGGTTACCATGTTATGATACCAGGTTGAGCTGATGTCCAATTTTATTTAGAGTAGGCTGTTATCCCAACACTATGTCCATGTTTTGGAAATTTTCTCAGCGATTAAGCGGCATATGAATCTTTCTGAGAAGAGCACTTGCTCATGGATTGAGTATTCATTTAGAGGAGAATATTTTTATCCAGGTTCTTAGAATATAATATTTGCAGTGTTATCTGAACTAAACATAATTAACCCTTCTTATTTGTGCTTGTCTTCCCAGATCATGAAAGAGACAATTTGAAACATTTCAACTAGTATGTATAGATGGAAATGAATGAGTGTCTGAAATATCTTATTTATAATGTAGAACTGAACAGAAATGATTGATAGCATTTAGTTTTGCATGTGACTTCTTGGAAAGAGGAAATTGAGGATGTGTCTCCTTTTGTGTTAAGAGTGAAATTCTCTCCCAAATGATTTCAAGTTAAAGAACATTTTAAAACTAGTGCCATGAAGAAATTTTGAGATGAAATAGAATGTCACAGGATACAATAAATATCAAATTATCAGAACTGCAAGGAATTTTAGGGAGATTCAATTATACAGAAGTCTCACATTTTTCATTTTAGAGCAATTATGAAGTCAGAACATCTTGACTTACCTGATTATGCTGATTGGCTCTTCAGCAGCATTTTTATTTTCTCACAAAATTTTCTATTCCCAAAGACCTCCAAGTTTTAGTACCTAGCTGAATGAACTACCAGTGTCCAGAAATAAATGCCAACCTCAGAAGTGCCCCTTATGTTTTTTATATTACCATTTTACTAAGCCCAGACTTGTCATAGGAGTTTGAAAACATTTCAGTGGTCAAAGAAAGGGCAATTTGCTCATTTAAACCTCTTTAAATCTCATTCTGTCCTTGATGCAAAAGTGCTGACCTGAATTTGTAAGAATAAATGGGATGTATCTATTTGACAGACCTGGGGCAGATACTGTCTGCTGAGGTTTCACCACAGATGCAAGAAAAAAGTGTTCTCCCACTTCCTGTCTGTCTGATTGTGGCACCCAAGACTGAAGAATACAGGAGTAAACCATGGAGAGGGAGTACAACAGAAATAACCTTGTAACAGTGAAGAGTCTGTTGTATTCTAAAGAAGAGCCTAAAATTTGAGTTTACACAAGAAGTTTTGGAAAATTTAAACTTACCCTAAAGTTTAACTTACCTTTAAAAGTAAAAGCAAGCCATTGACTATCAATCAATCAATCAAACAGCCTGGCACGATTTAATTCAGCTGTCAATCTTAAAAGAAACAGCAGATTATGAAGCAAATTAAATTTGCATTCCAGCTGTGTTTGACTGTGTTGGCCTCCTCATAGATTACCCTGTTCTGTGCAGTGGCTCCTCAGGAAGTGCCCTCTTTGTAGACAAATTCTCCATGGCAGGTCACAAATAGACAGATCTGTGTTTATACATAAAAGACCATAACAAGTCAATTTTTAAAAAAATCTCTTAATCTTGTAAATAGATTGGCTCTAAATAACTTTTCAGGTAGAAATCTTCAAATGAGTGTTATTTATTCAATAGTGAGAATAGCAACTGTTTTTCATATCTTTTCTCACATTTCTATTAACCTGAAAAATAGCATAAATTTCACCAGACTTGAACAACTCAATGAAATTGAACAAGTAATAAAAAAACTACCAACTAAGAAGAGCCCAGGCCCTCACAGGTTCACTGTCAAATTCTACAAGCATTTTAGATATGATCTAGCACTAGTGCTCTTCAAACTCTGTAATGAAATTGAAAGAGAAGCAGTACTTCCAAAGTAATTCCTGGAAGTAAGCATTACCCTGCTTCGAAAGCCAGAAAAGGACCCAACTAAGAAAGACAACTGCAGACCAATCTCTTCAATGAACATAGACACAAAAATCTTCAGCAAGATACTGGCAAATAGAATGCAACAAATCATCAAAAAGATTATACATTATGACCAAGCAGGATTTATTCCAGGGATGCAGGGATAGTTTAGCTCACACAAATCAACATATGCAATTCACCCCATAAATAGAAGCAAGGACAAAAGCCATACGATCATCTCAATAAATCCAGAAAACGCATTTGACAAAATTCGGCATCTATTCCTGATTTAAAACCCTCAAGAAAATAGGAATAGAGGGTCTTTAACTTAATCTAAAAACCATCTGTGACAAATGAATGGCCAACATCGTATGTAATGGTGAGAAGCTGAAAGATTTCCCTCGAAATCAGGAACAAGACAAGGATATTCACTATCACCAGTTTTGTTCAACATAGTTCTTAAAATACTAGTTAGAGCAATTAGACAAGAGAGAAATGAAAGGGATATGTAGAGGGAGAGAAGCTAAATTATCATTATTTGCAGATGACATGATCCTTTACATAGAAGACCCTTAAAAGTCTACCAAAACACTCCTAGAATTAATAACCAAATTCAGTAATGAAGCAGGATATAAAGTCAACACTAAAAAATCAATAGCATTCCTATATACTAATACCAAATTCACTGAGAGGGAAATTAGGGAAACAATACTTTTCACAGTAGCACCAAGAAAAATGAAATACTTAAGAATTAACCTAACCGGGCCGGGGATTTAGCTCAGTGGTTTCTCTGCCTGCTGCGCAAACGCAAGGACCGGAGTTCGATCCCCAGTACCAAAAAAAAAAAAAGAACCTAACCAAGGAAGTGAAGGACTTTTACAATGAAAACTATAATACTGTACTCTAAAAAAGGAGATTGGAGATTGAAGAGAATATCAGGAAATGGAAAGATATCCCCTATTCCTGAGTGAGTAGGCAGAACCAATAGAATGAAAATGGCCATGCTTCCAAAAATGTAATCTCAATCAAAATACCAATAATATCTCCTACAGAACAGGTAAAAGCTATCCTAAAATTAATATGATACCAAAAGAGACTCAAAGTAGCAAAAGCAGTTCTGAGCAACAAAGGCAAGGCAAAGGACAGCACAATCCCAGACCTCATGTTATACTACAAAGCAACAGTCAGAAACAGCATGGCGTTGGCAACAAACAAAACAAAACAAAAGACTTGTGGATAAATGGAACAGCATAGAAGACACAGAAACAGCTCCAGGCATGCTCAGTTACATGATCTTTGACTAAGGGGCCAAATCCTTTTTGCTGGAGGAAAGATAGCCTCTTTAAAAAATGTTGCTGAGAAAACTGGCTATCCACATGCTGAAGGTTGAATTTAGACCCGTATTTCTCACCATACACTAAATTGAAATGAAAGTGGATCAAAGATCTCAACATTAGAACAGAAACACTTAATCAGCTGGAAGAAAAAATAAGTAAAATTCTCCAGAAACATAGGTGTAGGCAGAGACTTTCTGAATAAAACCCCAGTTGCACAGAAAATAATACCAAGAATCAACAAATGGGAGCACAATAAAAAAGCTCCTGCACAGCAAAGGAAACCACCAACAAAGTAAAGAGACAACCTACAGAATGGAAAAAGTTTTGCCAGCTACTCCTCAAAGGACTAATATTTAGAATATATAAAGGACTCAAAATAATTAGACCCCTCAAATTTAAAGACCCAATCAAAAAATGGGCATCTGGGGGCACCTTTCAGACCCTCGGCCACCTCAGGGTGATAGGAGAGTAGAGTGCCCACTTATCTGCCTTCTCCCTCTGAGAGTTTACTCCTTGCCCTTGAAGAGCAGATGGGCAAAGGGCTCTGGGGTAGGTTTTATGGGTAGCTGCTCTCCCACCTGTCCCCAATCCTCTGGGTATACCATGTAGGCCTGGAGCAGGCAGGGACCTTGGTGTCTCGAGACGGCCACATGGGGGTGGTTGTGTGACAGGCAAGAGGGACCATGGGGCAGCGTCCATGCACGGGTGTGACACTGAGCTCTCTCCCTGTTGCTTCCCCAGAAGCCACAGTGAGCTGCACCCTTCTGTGGGCCTTGGGCGGGGAGGAGGGCGTTGTGGCCACAGTGTGTCCTCTTCCAGGCCCCTGAAGGACCTGAGTCACCCCCTCTGGTGGTGCTTTGGACTAACACCCCCCAACCTCCCATGTAGCAAGGTGGGGCCCAGGACTCTCAAACCGGAAGCAGATTTCTGTGAGAGGCAGGAAGAGGCAGCTATTCCCAGGCTCCTTCTCTGTGCCTGGGCCCAGACAAAAGTAGACTGGCTTCATTCATCTCTAAGTCTCCTGTCCCTCCCCTGGGTCTCCTCCCATCTCTACCCTGAGTCCAACCACAGCTGGCCATGCGAGCTGGGGATCCAACTCAGGCCCCCCACATGCTGACCCACCCTACCCCCAAGCCCCACAGCTGATGCCATGCTTGCTACACACCTGTGCCGGCAGGTGAGAAGCTGAGTTACCCAGGGGTTCGACTCACCGGCTGGTCCATGGATTTGGGAAACCTTGCCCCAAGTGGGATTGGAAGAAATGACTCTGTGGCAGTGCCCTTGCCTGACCAGGCCCCTTTCCTCTGTGGCCCCAGCCCAGGTGAGGGAGGGTAGTGTCCTCTTCCTCAGTTTGGGGAACGAGGGGCACGGGAAAATCTTGGGGAGCCCCCTCAGGACCCTTGAGGGAGCTGCTGGTTCAATCCAATTCCTCTTGGTCTCAAAGCAGAATGTGGATTTGGGGACCAGAGGCTGGGATGTCCTTTCGGGGGACCTGTGGTTGGGAGGAGGGGCTACCTCCCTCCCGAGGGACCAGAGGGGCCGCAGCCTCCAAACTTCCCTTGCTAATCTAGGCAGGCAGCTGCTCCATTTCCTGCCCTAAGAAGGGGCATGTGTACCCCAGAGAGAGAGGAGGGGCTGCCACAGTGGTGCTGAGGGATGCAGGGCCCCATGCAGAGCCACCACCCCAAGCACAGACCCTCCTGGTCTGGGACAGAGGTCTCTGGCCACACCCAGGATAGAAGAGGCCTGAGCTAGAATGTGACCATGACTTTGGGGACCAATCCCACAGGTGACAACCTTGGGCTCCCCAACCCGCTTCCTGGCTTCCCCCCTCACATCCCTCCAGGGAAGACTCCTTTATTGCTTCATTTCTGCCTTTTTTCTTTCACATAATGCACTTTGGGGCCATTTTTTTTTTAATAGCTGGAAAAAAATGAAACAGTCCCACCCCCTGAGCCAGTATTTTAAAAAAATCAAATGACCCTGTGGGATTGGCCTCTGTCCAAACATTTCACCTTCTGTTTGTGTGTGAAGTGCCTGCTCACCTTTTTATATGGGGCTATTGTCTTTCTCATCTGTTTGATCCCATCCTTTGTGGGCTTGTGCTCCAAATCAGACCTTTCAAACCTGGTCTGATACAATTTTGAACATTTGACTTGAACCACAAGTGAATCTTTCTCCTGGTGACTCAAATAAAAGTATAATTTTTAACAAGAACAACAACAAAAAAATGAGCATCTGAAATGAATACATACTTCTCCATAAGAAAATATAGTTGGCCAAGAGATACATAGAAAAATGTTCAACATCACTGGCTATTCAACAAATACAAATTAAAACAACATTAAGATTCCATTTTACCCCGAAAAGAATGGCTGCCATCAAGAAATCAATAAGAAATGCTGGTGAGGGTGTGGGGAGAAAGGAGCCCTTTTTCATTGTTGGTGAAAGTGTAAACTGATGTAGCCAGTGTGGAAATCAGTATGGAGATTTCTTAAAAAACTAAAAATAGAAATTCCATTTGATCCAGTTATTCCCCTTTTTTGTGTCTTTCCAAAAGAGTTAAAAACATCATACAACATTGATGTATATGTATATCAATGTTTACAGCAGCACAAATCATAATAGATAAATCTCAGAATCAGCCTGTGTGCCTATCAACAGATGAATGGATAAAGATGTGGGATTTATACACAATGGAGTAGTACTCTGCTGTTAAAAAATATAAATTTGAGGCATTTGTAGGAAAATGGATGTTCCTTGAGACTATTAAGTGAAGTAAATCAGGTACAGAAGCTTGAACATGGCATGGTTTCCCTTATGTGAAAAAGTTAATAGGAAAAAAGAAGAGGAAAAAAAGTTATTGTATTCTAAGTACTGTATGTTTCTGTTGTCAGTTTCTAGTATCACTCCAACATGGTGTGAGACATCACTTTGCAGGATTTCTATTTCTTTGGATATGTTAAGGTCTGTAATTTTGCTATAAGCATGGTTCATTTTGAATTTAAAAATTCTCAACAGGAATTCTGTGAAGATAAAGAATAGCTCAGGAGCACGAGGGCTGAGGGGCACAGAAGCTGTGCAGGTCAAGGTTCCAGGCCACAGTGCATGCGGTGGCCAGGGGGTGGAAGCAGAGGCAAACCTGAGCCCTGAGGCTGCTGGTAAACTCGACCCCAAGTCTCAAGCTGCCCTTGGTTGGCTGTGGAGAAAAACATTACAAGATCCAGTCCAGCACTGAAGGGCAGAGCTGCCCCAGCACTGAGGAGGAGCCTCCTGTGCCACTGTACCACCACCCCCAGTGCCAAAGATCAGAGCTGCCACAGTGCTGAAGAGGTGAGCCTCGCAGGTGCCAACAATGCACACACACCCTGCCCCACCCCCCATTGAAATGAGAAGACATGTAAACAAGGTAAACAAGTCTCAAAACCAGACTTCCAGATCACCTAAAGCTACCCCAAAGGGAAACAAGATGGAACAATCTGATACTCAACCACCTGGACTCCCTGAACTGGCAACAAAAGAGGATGTGGAAAAAAATGAAATCAAAACTAATTTCTCAGATAACAGCAGAGATTGTGCCCAAACTGCAAGACATGATTAATAAATCTAGAGAGTACACAGATAAAAAATAGAAGAACTGAGGAACATGATGGAAGCCCAACATAGGAAACAAATGGAATCCATAAAGCAGATGCAAACAGATTTCCTGGAGATTAAAAACTCCACTGAAAATTTACACAGTAGAATGAGCCAATGTGAGGGCAGAATTTCAGATGTAGAAGATAAGATTGCAATTAGTGACCAGGAAAAGAAAAATTGCTTTAAAATAGTAAGGGACCACAAGAAACCAATCCAGCAGCTTCTAGATGATGCAAAGAAAAATAACATAGGACTGATCAGAGTCAATGAAGAAACAGGAGAGAGTGCAGATGACATAAAAAACTGTTCACACAAGTTGTGGCAGAAAACTTCCCAAGCAAGGGGCAAGAAATTGACATACACATAAATGAGGCATATGGGACTCCAACTAGCCATGATCAAAAAAACACAAAATTACATATAGGCATATAATAAAGATTCCAAAACAGAA